ACTCCTGTTGCATGGCCTTGTCTTTCAGAAACAAACAGTTTGAAGGGTTTGGTATAGTCTGGTAGGCCAAGAGCAGGAGCAGAAGCAATAGCACTTTTGAGAGAACAGAAGTTGTCAAGGGCTTCTGTGGACAAGCAAAATGGGTCTGACTTGAGAGCATCATAAAGAGGTTGCATAAGGAGCGAGGCTTCTGGGATCCATGCTCGGCAATAGGAAATGAGGCCTAGGAAGGCGTGTAGTGACTTCGAGGTCCTTGGAGGTGGAATGTCCAGTACCGCTCTAACTCGGTCACGGGTAAGATGTCTGGTTCCCTGAGACAGACAATGGCCAAGGAAGATAACAGTAGGTTGGCAGAATTGCAGCTTGAGACGTGAAGCTTTACATCCTTGTTCTGCTAGGTAGCAAAGAATATTAAGTGAGCATTGTTCTGTTGTGGGTATATCATCTCCACAAAGCAGCAAATCATCCACATATTGAAACAGGACGACCTCAGGGTGGTCAGATTGCCATGGATCAAGGATAGAGCACATGGCCTTCGCAAATTGACTTGGTGAATTTTGTGCCCCTTGGGGCATGACAGTCCATGTGTACTGTTGTTTTTCATGTGTGAAAGCAAACAGATATTGGCAAGTTGGATCCAGGGGAACACTGAAGAAGGCATTGGCCAGATCAATGACAGTGAAGTACTTGGCAGAGGGTGGAACGCCGGAAAGGAGAGTGTGTGGGTTGGGCACTATTGGAGTGTCCAAAACTGTGGCTTCATTTACTGCTCTGAGGTCTTGGACCAATCTGTACTTTTCTGGTTCGCCTTTTGGAGTCTTTTTCTTTACTGGAAATAATGGAGTATTGCATGGTGATTCACATTTGACAAGAGCACCCTTCTCCAGGAGTGCTTGAATTTGAATTGTAATGGCTGCAGCTTGAGCTGGTTTCAAAGGATACCGTGATTTTCGTGGCAATTTTACGCCTGGGATGAGCTTTACCACCACAGGCGGGACCTTTAGATGGCCTATGTCCTCTGGGCCTGTGGACCACAGCTTGTTGGGAACATCAGTCTTTAGTGAATCAGGGAAATTAGTCCTTAGGTCTTTTGCATCCCCATGAGGCTCTTCTAGATGTAGCATCAGGGGTAAGGAGCACAAAGCTGAGGTGTCTGAGACAGATAGAGGGGTGGATAGTTCCACTTGTCCATCTGGAGTAAAGGTGATGGATGCCTGCAGGCGTGAAAGAACATCAGCTCCTAACAGGTTAATGGGGCATGTGGAAGATACCACAAAGCGAGCAAGCAAGTTGTGGCAGTTACCAACCCGCAGTGGGGTGGACAGGGGACTTTGCCTTGGAAGGCCGTCCACCCCAACACAGGAGACATCAATATTGGAAAGAAATGAGGTATCGGGCAGGTCTTGTTCTCTCAGAACACTTCAGGCTGCACCTGTGTCAACTAGGAAAGTGGTGGGCTGGCCCTCAATGGGTAAAATTACAGTAGCTAGAGGCCCCCCTGTTCCCCTGAAGACACTGCCATGGCAGGGGCATTAAGCATCAGCAGGTTTGCTCTCCTCAGTATGGGCTGTGTTACTGACTCAAACCCCTTTCTATGTCATTAGCCATAGCTTTTTGCAGTCTGAACATGTCTATCATTATAAATAATGGTTAATAGTAAGTGAAGTAAAGTTCCTAAATGTCTTTGGATAAAACATTAACTATTGCGGTACTATCATTTATATTAATTAGACTATAACAATTATACCACCCTGTAACTAAAATGAACAACCAGTAGTGGCTGGGTTAATAAAACATGTCACAAACCCTTCTAATGCTAAACCATCATTTAACGTAAAGGATGTTACTGTAAACATACGATCTGTAACTAGCAAGATTCGATTAAGTAAAGATACAATGTTTAAAATAACTTGCATTATTTGGCTATTTCCCTTGTTGCAAGATTAATCTGGATAATCAGCTGTTATGCTCTTATATTCGTGTCCAACAGATTTCATATGTAGGTCACACCACATTTGCAAATTACATTTTAGCAACCTTCTTTTTTTTTTTTTATCACGGACAAATTTCTGATACAGGGAAACAAATGGCATGATTGTTTTAGTAATTATAATGTTTCAGTTCATAATATGTAGAGTGTAAGGAAAACAACATGTCTCTAAATGGGACGAGCATAATAGGGGTAGGCCTCATGATGGAGGCAGCCATGACAGGGGCGGGGAAGGAAATGACAGCAAGGGAGGAAGTGAGAGGGGTGACGTCCATGATATGTGTGGGAAAGGAAGACAGGAGGTGTGGGCATGGTAAGGGCGGAAGTGACGTCACTTTAGAAGCAACCGTGACTGTAGATAGGTCACGGGACTGGCAGGGTCAACCTCCTTCTGTACTAGGCGCCATCTTTAGGGTGGTGGCTGACGTACTTTCAACCATACACTATATTATAACTATTAAAATAAGTCAGAGAAGCAACATTCTGTTCTGCAAAATGAAATACTAAACTATGAACAGACCTGGCAGGTTGAATAAGACAGTTGAGAACATTATGCATTTAACAGCCCATACAGCTGTTTCTAGAAACATGTACTTTAAAATAATAAAATGATGCAAAATAAACTCACGGAATTCAACCAATTTCCCTTATCATCCTCTAGCCATTAATCACTTTCCTCTTCACATACTAGCTTAACTCCGCATATTCCCTCTATCCACATTGCATAGTTTTGCAACAAATCACGCTTGCCTTTACACTTAACACGTCCAAATATTCCACTATTCTTGTATCAGATTCACTTACCTCCGTAAATCAACACTGAGCTACATTCTTGTGTCTCCCCCACAATCCTCACCACTTTATCACAAAACTCAATCTATACATACACACACATATATATATATATATATATATATACACACATATATACATACATATACAAACGGCAACAATAATGATATTATTACACAACTATAACACCATAACCTCTGAATTAGAATATTTTCCAGCAAAAATCCTGTCTCTAACTCTTATCAGCAGCTCCGAAATGCAGAAGGCATGTACCTCCCCCATTCGGAGGCAAGTGGGGAGGAAAGGGGGGGATGTGAGACAGTGCAAAAAAGGGAGAGAAGCTGCAGGCATGAAGATTAACCATGTGAGTGCTGGAAAGTAACAAGACAGAAGGACAGAGACTTATACGTTTGGAAACCAGAAATCTTTGACGGGAGAAACGGACTGGAGGTGCAGGGAGCTGCAGAGAGAGGATGAGGGTGACGGGATCTGTAGGACTGATGGGGGGGGGGAGAATAGGGATCCATCAGCATCCAGTAACACAATTATTATAATACACAAACAATCTTAAACCTTTGTGATCAATTTCTTCCTCAACCTATTCCTTTTGCTGAATAGCTCTTGCTACTCGGTATCAGGCTTCTGCTGTACAAACCAAATCTTGGTCCGACAGCTTCTCTTTCTTCTGTCAGTAACTTACGCCAGCTCTCTGGCTACAATCTGCCGCACAGAGGTACGGTAATTCCACATACTTTAGCAATCTTCCTCACTTTCTTAACCATCTCTTCTCCTTCTCTGTCTTCCACTAGATCACATGCTAACCAACCCTTACTGGGTTTATCTAACTTCTGTCCCATCCTCCCTATATAAGGCGTCCCAGATATAGAGAGAGAAAGGAACAGAACGTCTACCGTGCTCGACTGCTACTTTAAGAGCAAGCTCTTTAAGTACGTCTTCCCAAAACGTAGACTAGTCACTGATTCCGCCTACCCGTGGTAGCCGCGGATTGGAGCGTGGCGAGAAGTGTGTGACCAATCACTTCTCTCAACAAAGAGAAAGAGAAATAGGAGGGGAAAGTGTAAATAGTACAGTGAGTAAGATAAAAGTAAACACAGGAATCTGTGTGACAGACAATTAAGACAATAACATTTCAGTGTAAATACAGTGAATGCATCACAGTTCAAATAAGTTCAACAGTTTTATCCCTTGCCTTTACTCGTGTGGCCAAAAGCCACCTCCCTCAACCTCGTAGTGTCCCTGTTGCGGACCCACCCGCAAGTCTCACTACCAGCAGCCACAGGAAACAGCAACAGCTTCCAACCCGAATCCTGTATAGCCTAAAGAATTGGAATCTTACCTGCCTCAGCGCTCGAGGCTGGAATTTTACCAAGAAGAAGTGTCCGATGAGGCTAGCTAAGCGGTCAAAATGACACTCTGGGGAACCCCCAGGAAGCAATGAGTCTACATCATCCTCCACAGATTCCCCCTACTCTTTTTCCTTACAGCCACAGCCACGTGGCTCCTAAAAGAGTTAAACAGGCAATAGAGGACCCCCAGGAAAACTTCCACAGGTCCACCCCCCTTTTTCCTTACTACCACAGGCATGTGGTACCTAAAAGGGGTTAAACAGGCACTTACACTCCCCGGGTACTAAGTTAAACACATACCAATACAAACACACCCAGGCAACAGATAGTCAACATGCAGGTAAACTAGGTATCATTAACAATACAAAGACTCTGGGCAAGTTATTACCTGACTTTGATGTCCTCTCGGCAGCAGTCACAGACACTGGGGCAGGTCAATCACAGGGGCAGGAACATACCGGCTAGGTGCTGCAGCAATCTCTACCGTGTATTCAGAGGTGATCAGGCTCTTTTCCTTCCCCCAGGATTCAGCCCCCCCAGCGTCTTCTTGGACAGCTGCCCAGACTGGACATAGCCCAGAGCCCCACGTTGGGCGCCAATTGTTCTAGATAATTTACTGCAAACCAATTAGTTTGAATGACTATCTGTTCCTGTCCAAATTAAAGATAATAAAGTTGCGTGCACGCAGAAGTAAATTCACACTGAGACACAAGGTTCAGGGTAATGAAAGAACTTCAGAGAAGTTTAATGGCTTCTGACAGAAAATGGGTGCGCAGACCCTTATAAAGGCATTATTACATCATTGAAGAAAATCAAGATATAGACAAATAGACACTATTGATTGGTCCAGGTGTTAAGTGGTTAGTTAGGTACCCTCCTATCAAGAGGTGATGTCATCCTTGACACGGGAGTGGACACAAGATGTAGGCGCCATCTTGTTAGCACGAGGTGTTCACTCGATGGGAGGGGTGCTTTGGCAGCCATCCATTTAGAGTGTAGCTGGCACGGTTAGTTTCTCAAGGTTAGGTTTCAAGGCTTTTAGTAAATACACATTTTATCAAAGCTATTTCTTGCTGACATGCAAATTCTATGTTCTATAGACAAAGCTTCCTTGTAAAACTATGGGGGGCCTCCTAGAGGTATAGCAAGAGGATTTAAAGGGGCCTTACAGATTTATAGAGGCCTAATAATTCTACAACAAAACTACTTGGACGGGGCAAAAAAAAAAAGAAAGCTATCGAGGGCTGCAACCAGATTTCTGAGAAGGGAGGTTGTAAAAAACCCTTGAGTGACTGCAAAAGACTTGATGACAACAGGCAAAACTTGCAGCATGTGGAAGGCATGATGGATTCATTGAAATATCAGGAAATCCTAGGAAAAAATATCATGCTGTCCGTGAGGAACCTGAAGTTTGGGTGTAATTGGACCTTCCAAAAAGACAATGATCCCAAGCATACCTCAAATCCCACCAAGGCTAGATTGCAGAAGAAGCCCTGGGAAATTCTACAGTGGACATCACAGTCACCTGACTTGAACCCCATAGAAAATCGCTGGTGGAATTTGAAGAAGGTGGTTGCAGCACGCAAACTCAGGAATATTAGTGTATTGGAGGCCTCTGCTCATGAGCAATGGGCTGAGATTCATCAGGAACGCTGTCAGAAGCTGGTGTCTGGCTACGCATCTCGTTTGCAGCAGGTTACTTAGTTTAGTACTAAGTACTAAAGTTGCTTACCATGAAGGGGCATGAGTAATTTTGAGACTGGAGAAGTCATTATAAGTTCCATTTTCAGTTGAACTTGGGGAAACCACTTGAAGCATTCTTTGTGTTAAGCTATTTCAATTGCTTTTGTTTGATTTATTAATTTCAAACAGCTGAAAGTCTGTACATTTTTACAATAAACCTGATTTTCAATGAGGGTTGAATACTATTGATTACAACTGTAGGTCATTGGAAAATTTGTGTTAGTGAGTGAACCTTTAGAAAAGAGCAGATTTTACTGAATGATCCAGGAAACAACAGTTTATATGAGAACCATTCACACACGGGTAATAATAGAAAGCTAAACTGTGAAGATGCCAAAAAAGTTGGTGAAACAGCAGGACAGAACCTTCCAAAAGCTGGAATTAGGGAATATAAAAGGCACCCTGAACGAATGTTAAAAGAACAACTGTGAAATAAAACATCATGGAGGGTAGAGCTCTCAAGAGTTTAAAAATAGTAATTGATTCCAATATTGTTAAACTGGTAAGTTAGTGGCTGAGTGACAGGTAAAAGAGCGTTGTAGTCAATGGAGTATATTCGAAGCATGGGCTTGTCAAAAGTGGGGTACTTCAGGGATCTGTACTTGGAACCATTCTCTTTAATATTTTTATTAGTGATATTGCAGAAGGTCTTGATGGTAAGGTATGTCTTTTTGCTGATGATACTAAGATATGTAACAGGGTTGATGTTCCAGGATGGATAAGCCAAATGGCAAATGATTTAGGTAAACTATAAAAATGGTCAGCGTTGTGGCAACTGAGATTTAATGTGGATAAGTGCAAGATAATGCATCTTGGACGTAAAAACCCAAGGGCAGAGTGCAGAATATTTGATAGAGTCCTAACCTCAACATCTGAGGAAAGGGATTTAGGGGTGATTATTTCTGATGACTTAAAGGTAGGCAGACAATGTAATAGAGCAGCCGGAAATGCTATCAGAATGTTTGGTTGTATAGGGAGAGGTATTAGCAGTAGAAAGAGGGAGGTGCTCAGGCCATTGTATAGAACACTGGTGAAACCTCACTTGGAATATTGTACGCAGTACTGGAGACTGTATCTCCAGAAGGATATTGATACTTTGGAGAGAATTCAGAGAAGGGCTACTAAACTGGTTCATGGTTTGCACGATAACACAAGGAAAGGTTAATGGATCTTAACATGTATAGCTTGGAGGAAAGATGAGACATGGGAGATATGATAGAAACATTTAAATACATAAAGGGAATCAACACAGTAAAGAAAGAGACTACCGTATATACTTGAGTATAAGTCGAGTTTTTCAGCACATTTTTTTTGCTGAAAAACCCCCACTCGACTTATACTCGAGATAATGTCTGTATTATGGCAATTTACATTGCCATAATACAGACCAGGACCGCCGGCCTCATTACAAGCCCGGCGGTCCTGTTGGGGGCTGGCAGAGAGCTGTAACTTACCTTTCCTGCAGCTCCTGTCAGCTCCCTTCTCTCTCCTCCGTTTTGGTCAGCTCCCCTGTCAGCTCCACTGTAAATCTCGCGAAAGCCCCGGGGAACGCTCCGCGCGGCCATGAGACTTACAGTGGAGGAGAAGGGAGCTGACCGGAACGGAGGAGAAAGAAAGGAGCTGACAGGAGCTGCAGGAAAGGTAAGTTACAGCTCTCTGCCAGCCCCCCTCCTACACAGTGCACACCACTGGACCACCATGGAATGAGAGGCCCCCTCCCTGGCCAGCTAACAAGCAGGGAGGGGGGACGAAGAAAAATATAAATAAAAAAATGAAATAATAATATAATAAAAAAATAATATATATATATATATAAAAATAATAATAATAATAATTTTAAAAAATAATAAAAATGCCCACCCCCCCACCAAGGCTCTGCATCACATACACACACTGCACTCATACACACACACACACACTGCACTCATACACACACACACTGTATTCATACACACGCACACACACACTGCACTCATACACACATTCACTGCACTCATACACACACTGCATTCATACACACACACACACTGTATTCATACACACTCTGCATTCATTCAAACACACTGCATTATACACACACACACACACACTGCATTCATTATATACACACACTGTAAATAAATATTCAATTAATATATTTTTGAGGGGATCTTATTTTATTTAGAAATTTACCAGTAGCTGCTGCATTTCCCACCCTAGTCTTATACTCGAGTCAATAAGTTTTCCCAGTTTTTTGGGGGTAAAATTAGGGGTCTCGACTTATATTCAGGTAGACTTATACTTGAGTATATACGGTATCTTTAAAAGAAGAAAAATTGCCACAAAAAGAGGACATAGTCTTAAATTAAACGGGCAGAGGTTAAAAAATAATATCAGGAATTACTTTACTGAGAGAGTAGTGGATGCATGGGATAGCTGACGTGGTAGAGGTTAACACAGTAAAGGAGTTTAAGCATGCGTGGGATAGGCATAAGGCTATCCTAACTATAAGATAAGGCCAGGGACTAATGAAAGTATTTAGAAAATTGGGCAGACTAGATGGGCCGAATGGTTCTTATCTGCAGTCACATTCTATGTTTCTATGTGTCAAACACTGCAGAAAGCTCAGGATAAATTAATAAATCCTTGATTGTATAACTATCATATATTTGTCCACTAATGTAGAAAGAAACTAATTTGAGCAATGCGAGACAAAATACATGTAAAGAGGGTTAAGTAGAGAACAAAATGGAGAAAGTTAGTTAGAAGAACACAAACTTTTAAAAAGCTAGATTCACATTTTATGAACAAATAATCATTCATTTAATTGAATTTTTTTTTATATTTAACTATGTTATTTTGTTAACAGTGTCCATTCATAAGAAATATGGTTAAGGAAATGTATTTTTCTGAAGCCATTCCACCATAAAAGGATTGAAACATAAATATGCATTGGATGATTATTATAATTAATTTAGTTTGCCAAATTCACTGGCTCCTGCTATAAGTTTATACGTACATTGCCCTTGCTTGCCAATCTTTAAATCATACCTGAGAACAATTTTCCCTAATGGGTAATTTTCCAAACAAAAGGTGTTCTCCTGCTGTGAAAAATTACCTCATAATGGCCTGTTTCTTACATTTGGGTGGAAAATGTCTGGACACTTGAGTTTTTAAGGATTAATAAAGGAAATAGTTCATGATTGAACTATTTCCTCTCTGTACAACTCAGAGACTAAAAATAATAAGCTTTTATTTTATTTTTATCTAAATTGGCTAAAGTAAAGTTAAAAATAAATGTTACTCAAATAATTTTGAAGTATACTTTTTGTTTTTAAATTTTCATTCTATTGACATTGTTGAGATAAAAGTAGTTTAAGTGCTAAAGTGGTTAGCTATATAATTAGCATAATAAATGCTCAAAACGTGTACAGATTTAAAAAAAAAGAGGGGGGGGGGGCAGGTGAAGGGGGGGGCTGTGCAATTATTTCCAGCCAACCTTGAGTATAATAGGTACAACAGCATCAAGAAAAAAATTAAAGGAACTATTTCCTGTACAGTGGAGAGCTGGATATTGCTTTGTGCAGCCTCATTTTTTATTACTAGTTATCACCAAATGTTTGAAAAATGTGAGGTAGTTTCAAAATGGCCACCTCTATACAGAAACACTGACAGATATTCAAGTTATAATTCCTTGTTAACAAGTAAGATTATTTTCACTTAAGCAAGCTGCAATCTATTTTTATTTTTGCTTTAAATTTATCTATGGAAAATAATGTTTATTTGGTCTATTTAATAATGTAATGTAAGACAAGGAAATAGTAGTTAAAGGTTATTAAAAGCCCTATGTCCACATCATGGTCATAACGCACATAGCCTGTATGTGCAGTGTTTGACAAATAAGTCCACCACCACTACCCTCACAATTGTATGATTTTTTTTTGTGCTGCACTCTACATAGAATGGGTATGGCTAGTGAAGCAGAGGGGAATGAAGATATTGATTAAGTAATCTAGAGGGTAGTTGCATAATAAAGAAAGGAGTGGATAGGACATCAGTGACATGGACGGACAGGCAGGGAATGGATGTGTTCAAGTGACAGGGGAAAAGTATGAGTGAGGAACGGAGCAGAGGTGATGTGGGCAGGGAGCATATGAATGTGGCAGCAATGAGTCAGGTAGGAATATTATGTAAGAGAAATAGTAAAGATCAGCCCCCTCGCTCACCTCATCACTCTGAGTGGTCCACGTGAAAATAATCACTGAGGTCATAAGGAACAGTATTAACAACATTGTCTCTCATCTGCATTCCAAGTCTCTCCTTCACTCACAGCAATAAGGAAAGAGAAGGGACCTTCAGATAAAATAAATGCTTGCCCTAAGTTGTCTCTGTCTCCCAGGCCATTC